TGCCTAGGTGTCTAGAAGGCTATTCACATGCCCAGGGAAGTCCTGAGATGGGCCAAATCTCACACAGCTGGCTAACACTAAAGCTTTGCACAAGCGAAAAATGAAGGCTAAGACATACCTGTGGAAGGCTAAGCTATCTGTGGAACACTGAAATCATGCCAAAAGACTGAAAGAACTTTCGGTTCAAAGCTTTTAAGTAATTTCTGTCCAATCATTATGTAACCACTAAGCTAGCCAAGCAGAAACTTTAGTGGCTGCACGTGACAAAGATTTCAGACAAAAAATAGTCCATGAAAATCAGTGAGCAAACAAACAGCAATGAAAACAATGAGCAAAAACAAACCTTGGGAAAGGGAGGAATCTGATTTCCAGAGCTGCCACATTCTCCTATTTAATATGTCCACTTTCCAACAAAACAAAATGAATAACACTAAGAAATAGGAAATTATGGCCCCTACACAGAGGAAAAAAAGCAGTCATTAAAACTTCTCTGAGAAAGCCAGACATTGGACTTAGTAAACAGCACTTTAAGTCATATATTATAAATATGTTCAAAGAACTAAAAAGAAAGCATGTCTATAAGTTAAAGGAAAGTAAGTCAACAATATCTCACCAGAAAACATCAATAAAGAAACAAATTATTTAAAATATCCAAAGAGAAATTCTGAAGTTGAAAAGTACAGTAAGTAAAATTTAAAAACTCACTAGAGGAACTCGACAACAGATGTGAGCAGTCAGAATAATCAGCAAACTTGAATATAGATCAACTGAGATTATACAGTCTAAGAAAGAGGAAAAAAGAGAAAGACTAAAGAAAAAATAAAAAAAGGGGGCCTTAGAAATCCGTGGGACACCATCTAGAATACTAACATACACATATTGAGAATCCCAGAAAGACAGAGGGAGAGGAAGAAAAACATAAGAAAAAATAATTGATAAAAATTCCCCTGAATTGATGGGAAAGCATTAATCTGCACATCCAAAAAGATAAACAACCTCCAAATAAGTAAAACTGAAGAAGATTTGTTATTACACATACCACAGACAGCTATCAAAAGCTAAAACCAAACAGAGTATCATAGCAGAGAGAAAAGTGACTCATCACATAAAGGAGGATCCTTAATAAAATTAATATCTGACTCCTCGTCAGAAACTATGGAGGCCATAGGCAATAAAATGACATAGAGTGCTGAAAGGAAAAAAAAAAAACCTCTTATATAAAATTCCATATCCAGTACAATTATCTCTCAAATAATAAAGGCAAAATTAGGGAGTTTCCTGATAAAAATATACAAAGAGAACTCATCACCAGCAAATCTTCCCTACAAGAAATACTAATGAGAGTCCTTCCTTCATGCTGAAATGAAAGCGCACAACATAAAACTCAAATCCACACATGGAAAGAATACCAGTAAAAGTAACTACATGTGTAAATAGAAAGACAGTGTAAACATATTTTGGTTTGTAACTCATTTCCTCTATCTGAATTTTTTTCTGTCAACACCTGAAGACATGTTTATTGATTTTAGAGAGAGGGCATGGGAGGGAGAAAGAAAGAGAAACAAATGCGACCAGGAACCAAACCCACAACCCAGGCATGTGCCCTGACTGAGAAGAGAACCCGTGACCTTTCAGTTTCCAGGACAACACTCCAACCAACTGCGCCATACCACCCCAGGCTCTTCTATCTGATTTAAAAGACAATTTCATAAAATGATCAGTATAAATTAGTGTCAGTAAACTTTTAATGTATAAAGATATAATTAGTATGACAATAATAGCACCAAGGAATTGAAAGGGGACACAGTTTTTGTATACTATTGAATTTAAATTAATATTAATCTGAACAAATTTAAGTTAAATTGCTAATTTTATGCCTAAAGTAGACCACCAAGAAAACACCTCCAAAAAAATACAGTAAAAGAGGGACAGAATGGAAAAGACAGACTGCAGAGCTGTTCGTGGGGGGTAAAATAAACAGAAATTTATGTTAGATGAAAGTGAGATATTCTCCCTCAAGGAGCAAGAAGTCTAGAGGAAAAATCTGAAGAGTGAACAAAAGATGATTCTGTATTGTATCCAATGACTGGAACATAGAATAGGGGACGGAAAGTGACAAAGCTGAGGCTGAGACTAGATCATGAAAGGTAAGGACTGACCTTTGTTCCTAAGGTATTAGAGAGTAATGTAAGGAATTGATAAGTGACATGATTTTGAGCAAAGAAGTGACTGTGTATCATTAAGGAAATATACCCATAAAGGTGGCCGTAATGAAAAAGACAGTAACAAGTGCTGTTGAAGATGTAGAGAAACTGGAACCCTCATACAGTGTTGGTGGGAATGTAAAATGGTACACCTTCCTTGGAAAACAGCTTGGTAATTACTCAAAATGTTAAGCATGGAGTTACCATATGACCTAGCAGTAATACTCCTAGGTAGATACCCAAGAAAACTGAAAACATATGTCTACACTAAAACTTCTTTTTTTTATTCAAAGTATCAATATTATTTTATATATATATATATTTTTGTTGTTGTTGTTGTTGTTGTTCAAATACATTTGCCTCCACCTTCCCACCACCACTTTCCCCTACCCCCCTCCCCCACCTCCGTCCCTCAATCCTTCCCCACTGTGGCTTTGTCCATAAGTCCTTGATGTATGTTCCTTGACTTGCCCCTTCCCTTCCCTTTCCCTGCCCACCCCTCCCTCCTCCACTCTTGACTCTGTTGGTTTCTTTTTTCTTTCAATGTTTGCTGGTCATATTTTCCTTGCTTATTTGTTTTGTTGGTTAGGTTCCAATTCTAGGTGAGATATGGTATTTGTCTTTTGCTTCCTGGCTTATTTCGCTTAGCATAATGCTCTCCAGTTCCATCCATGCTGTCGCGAAGTTTAGTAGTTCTTTTTCTTCTTTCTGCTGCATAGGATTCCATTGTGTAAATGTACCATAGTTTTTTGATCCACTCATCTACTGATGGGCATTTAGGTTGCTTCCAACACTTGGCTATTGTAAATTGTGCTGCTATGAACATTGGGGTGCAGAGGTTCTTTTGAATTGGTGTTTTGGGATTCTTAGGGTATAGTCCCAGCTGAAGAATCACTGGATCAAAAGGCAGTTCCATTTTCAGCTTTCTGAGGAAATTCCACACTGCTTTCCACAGTGGCTGCACCAGTCTGCATTCCCACCAACAGTGGACTAGGGTTCCCTTTTCTCCACAGCCTCGCCAGCACCTGTTGTTTGTTGATCTGTTCATGATGGCCATTCTGATCGGTATGAGGTGGTCTCTCATTGTGATTTGTATTTCTCTGATGGCTAGTGATGCCGAGCATCCTTTCAAATGCCTCTGGGCCCTCTGTATCTCTTCCTTGGAAAAGCGTCTGCCCAGGTCCTTTGCCCATTTTTTGACTGGATCGTTTGTCTTCTTGGAGTGGAGTCTAGTGAGTTCTTTATATATTTTTGAGATCAGACCTCTATCTGATGTATCATTAGCGAATATATTTTCCCATACGGTTGGCTCCCTTTTCATTTTGCTGATGCACACTAAAACTTCTTATATATGAATATTCATAGCAATCTTATCCATGATAGCTCAAAAATAGAAATAATCCAAATGTCCATCAACTGGTGAGTGGATAAATAAAATGTGGTAATTTATACAATGAAATATTATTTAACCACAAAAAGAAATGAATTACCAATACATGTTAAAACATGTATGAATCTTAAAAAACACTGTAAGTTATGCTAGTTATGATAACACTATGAAATAAGTCAGACACAAAGGCCACATTATGTATGATCCCATTCATATGAAATGTTCAGAATAAACAAATCCATAAAAACAAAATCTATTAGTGATTGCCAAAGGTTGAGTGTGCAGGGGTGGGTAGGCATAGAAGGAAGGGGAAATAAAAAGTGACTTAATGAATATGAGGTTGCTTTTTGGGGTGATGAAAATGTCCTGAAGTTAGATAGTGCCATGGTTGCAAAACTTTATGAACATACTAAAAACCACTGAGTTTTATACTTCAAAAACGTAAAGTTTATGGTATATAAATTAAACCTCAATAAAGCTGTTATAAAACAAAAACCATGATGAGTTATCACTTCCTATCTAGAAGATGAGTAAAATCTAAAAGAAAAAGACTAGAAATACAATGTTGGCAAGGTTGTACAACCTCACTGTTGGTCAAAGGGTAAAATGGTACAACGACTTTGTAGAAGTTTCACAATATCTTATAGAGTTAAATAGGCATCCCCCCTATGACACATCAATTCAATGCCTATTTACTCAAGAGAAGTGAAAACTTATGACCACATCATTGTACAGGAATGTTCATAGCACCTTATTTATAACAGTCCAAAAACGGAAACCATTCAAATGTCTATCAACTGGAGAACAGATAAACAAAATGTGGTATAATTGTACAATAGAATAATAGCCAGTAATAGAAACAAACTGATACGCACAGCAACATGCGTGAACCTAAAAATCTTTACCTTGATGGAAAGAAGAGAGTTACACATGAAAAAATACCATACTATATGATTGTATTTATATATACCTGAAGAAAAGGGGAAACTATTATCATCATAGAAAAGAGAATAATGGTTTCCAGGGCAGGGTAGCTGGAAAGGGGCACAAAAGGACACTTGGTGATGAAAATGATCTTGGCAGTTATTTAGGTTTATAAAATTGTCAAAACTAAACAAAACGATTATTTAGAACTGTGCGTTTTATTATATGTAAAACTTATCCTAACTAAAGAATAAAAGTTTTACTGAAATATTCATGGGTGAGGTTATACAATGTAAGGACAGGTTTTAAATACTTCAGAACAAAAGAATGGAAGTTAGGTAAGAGAAGACTAGCATATGCTGATAAGTGCTGAAGCTAACCGATGTGCACATCAGATTTATATTATCTTTTTGGTGTTGTATGTGTTTAAAACTTCACATGAAAAGTTAACAGTTATTCATTCATAAATAAATATTTCTTACTGTAGTTCTGTGGTACAAGTTCCGGGCTCTTTGGAGTTTTCAATTTGTAAGATACATCTCCAATATTTACTGTATCACCTAAAAAGAGAATAAAGAAACACAAGCATCACAAGAGACAATTGAGAAAACCATACACTATGCCTTTCCCAACCATGATTCTCCTGACCAACAGAGAGGGTTGTTACAGAAGTGTACCCACATCAGTCTGTGTCAGGCACCTGAGGCACTATCTATCCAAAGTATAAGTATGGAAAGGAGAAGTGAAGCATCAGTGAAATTTGCATTTTAAATGCTACCTTAGCAACAAAGGTAAAGGATATTAAAACCAGCTTTATTTTCTTAGTAATAGCAATACTAAATGTCAACAACAATAAAGAAGGAAGTCTTTTGTTCAGAATCATCCAAAGCATAGAGGGTGGTACTGTTAACACAGATCTGCAACCTTTTACACTTCTATAGGTTCATATTTTACTACATGTAACTTCAAGTTCTCTAACATCATAACCTCAAAATTCAATATTTTTAAATACATAAAAAAAAAAAAAGCCCCGGTGGCATATGTGCCAAGAATCCCTTCACAGAACAAACAAAACAAAAACCTTGGCCCACTTCTTTCCCACAACAAAAGTTCTCAGTAACTTCTACGTGGTTCTAGTTTTTAAAAAAATAATATTAATTTTGGGCTAATCTCTAAAATGCAAGACTAACTGAATAATCTCTGTTTTGCTCTCTCCAACAGCAAAATAAACATATCGATACCATCTGCACCTGGAACTTAATTTGGAAAGGGCTCAAAAACTCAGAAAAAGAAGCTATGACACATCTTTTAACTCTGTCAGTTTGGAGCCAGTGAGGTATCCTGGAGACTAAGGCCTTAAATCATGGTAATAACAACAACAGCATTGGCTTGTTGAATGATTAGCATCTTCTAAGTACTTCACACATTCCCAAATTAACCCATGAGACAGACTTTACAAATGAAGAAATTCGTGAATATGGGGGGAAAAGATTTTATAGATAGATAAATTTATTACAGGTGAGGCACAATAGTAAAGCTAGAAAAATTCCTGGGAATGTGGAATGGGGAAACTGAGACAAGATAACTAAATTAGGCCAAACAATTTGAACAACTTACAGCCAACTAGTGAATCACAAGACCTTATCTTCCTAACCAAGAACACTTGAGAGCAAATGGTTCATACCTGTCCCCTCAACCAGAGAACACATACATAGCTTAAGTCACCGTGGTTGGGGAGATAGAGGACAGAAACCCAGTTAACGCCATTTATGCTAGCTAAACCCAAGGATGGATGAAGTCAGAGGAACAAATAACAAAAACCCAATTGAAGCCACACAAACCCAAGATAAATGTAAAACAGTAAAGTAGACCAAAGAATAATTCCAAACTCTTCTATACACTCATTTTGATGCATCAGCATATTAAAAACACACCTTGAAAGCTGATGAATATTCTGCTAAAATCCTCCTCTAAGGTTCCCACCTGCAGAAGAGAAATTAAAACCCTCGAGACAAAGACCACCACTATGGGCTCCCTCTAGAGCATGTGCATGCCCCTTCCCAGGCATGAACTTATTACTTCCTCCTAAGCTCTAAAGGTCCCTGTAAGACTTGCAGCCAGGGGAGCAGCAGGCAGTGGCAGCTTATCCCAGGCCTACCCCTAATCCTGCCCCTAAGGCCCATTTCTCTCTGACTTCCCAGTGAGCTAAAAGCATCCCTGCCTTCGATCTCTTCTTCCCAGTGAGCTTACACCAGCCCAACCTTGGCCCACTTCTTTACCACAACAGTTCTAGGGAGTCAAAGCAGAGCATTGCCTTCGCTCTCCCCTGTTGCTTCTTCTGCCCTAAGTCCTTCATTTGTCTCACTTCCCCAACTATAATAAGCATAATTTCAAAATCACCTGGACTCATGTTGTGAAATCTTCCCTGCATGAAGTCAAGAACCCACACACTACAGGCCAGCCTGTGACAGGTCCACTCAGGATATGGTGACAGGTGCGTGGTAAATTGAGAGAAATATGAAATACTGTGCAAAACTCAGGTTTACATGTGCTTTCTGATACAAAAGACATATATTTAGATCATTGTACAACAATTGTACAACTCAAAAGAATTTTCTTCTGAACTAATTAGCTAATACTTACTGAATACTGGCTATTTGGGAAATGTTGTTATAGATACATTATTTATATTATTTCATTTAATCTAGACTCTAAGTAGGCATGGTTCTTGTGAACTCCTTCACATAACTATTATAACAGAAATGCCATCACAAAAATAGCTTATAAAAGGTTTCTGTTAGAGCAGTTAAATGAAATAACTCACAGAACCAAGTGTCACCGAAGAGTCGTAGGCTCAGAAACTAGTCCAAGCATGGCAGGGAAGGGAACAGGAAACACAAAGTCACTCCCCAGGATAAACACCCTGAGATACTGCCCCTGGCAACACTAAATCCAAACAATGAACATCACAAGCAGAGGACATTTTCCCATTTTATTTTGATATTTTTCAAACCTGTAGAAAAGTTGGAAAACCCTATCTTAAGTTGTAAAAATCATGATTCTTCACCTTTAACCTAAAGTCTTCAGATGTTTCTAATAATAATAACATTGCCGTAAGTAATCCATTCTTGCAGCCTCAGCATAACTCCCTCATGATTCAGTCTTGGCCATGAGCATTTAATTAGCCAAACTTAAGTTATTATCCATGGCCTAGTTGCCAAGGAGGTGGGGGGCAGGTGGGAGGAGGTAGGAGGCAGAACTAACCACTGTGATTTCCAGAGTGGAATCAGGGCCCTGCCTGCTGTTAAGACTCACAGAAAGGGACTCCACCTCTCTCTTTCTCTCCCTCCACTTTCCCTCTCCTCCTTGCCCCCTCACCTCCTGCTTTCCTCCTACCTCACTGTGACTTTCCAAGTTGTCTTTGCTTTCTCTTCCTCTTAACAGTTTCTTTTATTAAGTATATTTTTTTATTACGCTATTACAGTTGTCCCATTTTCTTTCTCTCCTTTATTCCCCAGTCCATCGGTTGTACATTATCAGTTCTTTGGCTCCTCACTGCCTATATTATTCTTAACCTCCCCCTGTCTATTTTATACCTACCAATTATGCTTCTTATTCCCTGTACTTTTTCTGCCATTCCCTTTACCTCTCTCCCTGCTGATCACCATGATCTCCATTTCTGTGATTCTGCTCCCATTCCAGTTGTTTGCTTCATTTGCTTTTGTTTTTTAGGTTCAGTTGTTGGTAACTGAGTTTGCTGTCATTTTACTGGTCATAGTTTTGATCTTCTTCTTTTTCTTAGTTAAGTCCCATTAACATTTCATATAATAAGGGTTTGATGATGATGAACTCCTTTAACTTGACCTTGTCCGGGAAGCACTTTATGTGCCCTTCCATTCTAAATGATAGCCTTGCTGGATAGAGGCATCTTGGATGTAGGTCCTTGCCTTTCATGACTTCGAACACTTCCTTCCAGCCCCTTCTTGCCTGTAAGGTTTCTTTTGAGAAATCAGCTGCTAGTCTTATGGGAACTTCTCTGTAGGTAACTCTCTCCATTTCTCTTGCTGTTTTTAAAATTCTTTCATCTTTAATCTTGCGTAATGTAATTATGATGTGCCTTGATATAATCCTCCTTGGGTCCAACTTCTTTGGGACTCTCTGAGCTTGCTGGACTAGCATATCTATTTCCTTTGCCAGGTTAGGGAAGTCTTCCTTCATTCTTGGTTTTCAAGTAAGTTTTCAATTTCTTGCCCTTCCTCTTCTCCTTTTGGCACCCCTATGATTTGGATGTTGTCCCAGAGTTTCCTAAATCTCTCATTTTTTTTTTTAATTCTTATTTCTTCATTCTGTTCTGGCTGAATGTTTCTTTCTTTCTATTTCAAATCATTTACCTGAGTGCCAGTTTTCTTCCCTTCACTGTGGGTTCCCTGTGTATTTTTCCTTATTTCACTTTGTATAGCCTTCACTTCTTCCTTTACTTTGCATCTGTCCTGATGAATCCTGATTACCAGCGTTTTGAATTCTGCATCTGATAGGTTGGCTATCTCCTCAACACTTAGTTCTTTTTCTGGAGTTTTGATCTGTTTTTTCATTTGGGCCATATTTCTTTGTATTAGTGTACCTGTTATGTTGTAAGGGGCGGAGCCTTAGGTATTCGCCAAGGCAGGGCAACCCAGGTTGCTGCGTTGTTGTGCTGTCTGTGGGGGAGGGGCCAAAGAGGGAACAATGTCACTTGCTTGGCTTTCACCCTGCTTTCAATCACTTTCCCTACTACCCCCAAGTGAATTCTGCCTTTCTGGTGCTGATTACCTGGTGGGTGGGTTTGAGTACATTCTAGGACCCCGTTAGTCCTTCCAATGGACTCTCCTGTGAGGCTGGGAGTTTCTCCCATCACCGCAACCCTCACAGGTTATTACAGCCACAGGTTCTGAGGCTTTCTATACCGGCACTGGAACACCAGGTTGAGTGGTCTATCTCACTCCCCAGTTATTCTTCCCAGCTTACCTACACACAAATGTGGGACTGCCTGGTCCACCAGCCACCACCTTCCCATGTGTCCTCTCCACCCCGGCTCCCCAGCTCTGCCCCTCCTACCACTCTGGATGAATGCTTCCTCTTTAACTCCTTAATTGTTGGACTCCCATATAGTTTAATTTTTGTTCTGGTTGTTCTGGTTGTTTTTTGTTTTTAAACTGGTTGTTGTCCTTCCTTTGGTTGTGTGAAGAAGCAAAACATATCTACTTATGCCTCCATCTTGGCCGGAAGGTCCACTCTTCCCAATTTCGTAACACTGGTTGCAGAGGCAGAGTTCTAGCCTCTTTTCTATTTTATCTACAACCACCCTTTGATGTGTTCAAGCAGTCTTAGATCTTTAAGTGCAACTAATATATAGTGCTGGCTCCAAATTTATATCTCTAACCCAGACCACAAAACTGCAAACATAGACACCCAAGATGCCTAATAGGCAACTTAAATGTAATATGTTCAAAACTAAATTTCTGATCTTTCCACAAAATGTGCTCTATGCACAGTATTCCACAGTTCTGTCAATGGCAATTTA